AGATCGTGACCTGGCTGAAGTCGGACGCTTAACCGACTGCGCCACCCAGGCGCCCCAAGGATTTTATTTTTAAGTAATCTCTACACCCTACATCGGACTTGAACTCACGACCCTGAGATCAAGAGTTGTAATTTCCACTGAGTGAGTCAGCCAAGGGCCCCTAATTGTGTATTTTCTTTGTGTATTTGGGTATTAGTCTATTAACAGATATGTCCTTTGCAATTGTCTTCTCCCATTCACTATGTTGTGTTTTTTTGTTTGTTTCCTTTGCTGATCAATAGCTTTCATTTGGGTGTAGTCATCTAGGGATTTTCTTTGTTGTGAGATTCTTTATTACAGGTTCAATCTCCTTGCTCATTATAGGTTTGTAACAGAATTCTTTTTTCCCTTTATTCTTTTTCTATTTTGCCATTTAGTATTGGTAGGTTTTGTGATTTTAGGAATTTTTCCATTTCATCTAGATTATCAAATTTATTGGCATACAGTCTCTCCCAATCCCTTTTCCCCCCTGTAGAATCACAGTAATGCCCCCACTTTCATTTCTGGTTTTAGTAATTTCAGTCTTTTTTTTTCTTTTTCTATTACTATGTAAATGTTTACATTGATCTTTTCAAAAGATTTTTTGTTCCATTGATAGTTTGTATTTTTTCCTCCCGTCTATTCTTCTCTAGTTTTTATTGATTTCCTAATGCTACCTATGTTTTCTCCTTTTCCTGTGGGAGAAGGCTTGTGTTCGACCTCAGTTCTGGTCGATCCATTCTTCCTATAGAAGCTGAATTGCCTCAGTAATGTAGTGTGTTCACCTCCATGCTGAACCCTCTTCATGTACAGCCTGAGGAAGAGTGATGTGATTGGGGTGCTTGGTAGGTTTCTCAGCCAAGGAGCCCCTGTCTGTGATGGGCCACTGGCCTTTGAACCAAGAGGACACCAAGGGACACAAATGCAATTGTTAAGAATTTAAGTCTTCTGGTTATTTTTTCCTCTGAAAAGATACATTTCCTCTGTTCCCAAAGCAGCTATGATTTGCTTATAGTTGTCACTGCATTTGTTTTTCCTCAATAACCTTTTCAGTAATTCTTTTGTTCCTTTTCATTCCTATTTGTAGCACTAAAATTCTGTGCTTGGTCCAATTTTGTATAGCCATTCCTTAGATCTCTAACATTATATGTGAAGCACATACATCAAGCACTAGCATGGTTTCCTCAAAAATCATCCTCTCTTGGGGCACCTGACTGGTTCAGTCAGTGGTGCATGCGACTCTTGATCTGAGGGTTTTAAGTTCAAGCCCCAGTTGGGTGTGGAGATCACATAAAAAATAAATCTTAAAAAAATTCTGTCAGCTGTTGATCCTTCCTTCACTTTTTCCCCTTAAAATAATGCAAGGGAAAGTTTATTACAAATAACATGCTTTTCATATCAAGACTGTTGTTTTACACGTATAATTTTATGTAATCCTGACATTTCTTAGAGGTATTTTCTGATTTACCCCATTTTTTAAAGATCCTAATTGGAATGGCCTTTATCCTGGAAATGTGACATTCTCCTAATTGATTATCATACTTTTCCTGGAAACAGTGACACATGATTTGAAACTTTCAGTGTAGGAATCTAGATTTTTTTTTTTTTTTTAAATTTTTTTTTCAACATTTTATTTATTTTTGGGACAGAGAGAGACAGAGCATGAACGGGGGAGGGGCAGAGAGAGAGGGAGACACAGAATCGGAAACAGGCTCCAGGCTCTGAGCCATCAGCCCAGAGCCTGACGCGGGGCTCGAACTCACGGATCGCGAGATCGTGACCTGGCTGAAGTCGGACGCTTAACCGACTGCGCCACCCAGGCGCCCCAGGAATCTAGATTTAAATGGTAGTTTGCTGAGGTGTTTCTATGTAGTATATGTTGCATAGGGTAAGTCTGAGATATTGCCTCACTCTTTCCCTTCTAGCCTCCTTTTTTCATTCCCTTTTATTGTCCTTGTTTTATCACACCTACACTTTTTTTTTTTTAAGTTTATCTTTGAGAGCGAGAGCTTGTGCATGTGTGAGGGGGGAGGGGCAGAAAGAGAGAGAGAGGGAGAGATTGAGAATTCCAAGCAGGATCTTCACTGTTAGTGCAGAGCTCAATGTGGTGTGCTCAAACTCATGAGTTGTGAGATCATGACCTGAGTCGAAATGAAGAGTTGGATGCTTAACAACCGAACCACCCCAGCGCCCCACACCTTCATTTTCCATCACTGTGGTCTTAAGATACACCTGAAGACCTCAGATACAAACTACTTTTATCAGTGTATGACTGGCAATGGGTGGAGGGAGAGAGGAATGAAAAATGAGCATTTGGTGGGTAGAGTTTCAATTTGGGAATATGAAAATGTTTGGGAATGGAGAGTGATAATGGTTGCACAAAATCAATATGCTTCATGCCAAATCAATAGAACTGTACCCCAGAAAGTATTTAAATGTTAAATTTTATGTTATGCCTACTTAACCACAATAACAAAGAAAGTGAAATGGCACAAAGTAATGGAGAAAGACCATGAGACTCCTTTCAGATAATATCTTTAATTCCCTTGTAAGAGAATACTGAATTGTTGAGTGTTTTAGTCAGCAGTTTGTATTGGGATACTGAAATCACAATATTGTGGTCTATTTAATAATTTGTTGTTAAGGGGTTTTCCTGTGTGTTGTAGTTTTTTAAGTGCTCCCTCTCATCCACCCACTAGGTGCCAGCACGGAGTTGTAACTAGAAATGTCTCAAGGAATTGCCAGTTGTCACGTAGGGGGCAAAATCAGCCTGAGAACCACTGGAGGAAATCAATTCCATGGTGTTAGCTTTCAGAGTGATGAGAATAACAGGAAGAATGACATGTTGTTGGAAGATAAAACATGAGTAATTTTGGAAATGGTGAGTTGAGGTGCCTATGGAACACCTCACTGGTGACAGTACCTCAAGAGTTCAGTTGTATTGGTCTGGTGTTCGTCAGTCTACACTGGTGGCAGTATAATCAAGTACATACTTCTGTAGGTTAAGAGCCTACTTCCCTCCCACCCCCTAAAACACAGACATACATACAACACTATATTCAGCAAGGGCTATGAAACTTCAGTAATCACATTTTGAATACTACTGGACTTGCCAGCTTTTGCTTTGATATATTTACGTGCTAAATTAATGTAAGTAGATTTCCTTAAGTTGAGTACGTTGTAATTACAGTGACATCAGCCAGACAGCAGAATATGAGGTAGTTCTCCACTTGTATTCTCTGATAGGAACAATAATTCGGCAGGCTTCCATGAACAAAAGTGCCTTTGTTGGATTTTTGGGATCCATGTAAGAGACTGTAAAACCTCAGTAGAGCCCAAGAACAAGGAGGGCCATTTTGAGAAGGCAACCTATGCCTTGATGGCAGGATTGTTGACTGTGGTCCCAATTAGACCCAGAAAAAGCCACGTTCCTATGTGGATTTAGCTACCGCCCCATATGGCCTTGACAGCAGCATTATCCCTCAGGCTCCAGTAAGAGTCACGTCCACCCATGCCTCCAGTAACAGGCCGGCTGACTTCACTCTGAGATGCAGCCCTTGAACAGCCAGCCTGTGACTCAGCTGTTGTCTTTCCCATGTAGTAATCAAGAAAGACTTGTGTCCATCTGTGTTCCTAGAGGCAGGCCTACTAACCTTGGTCTGACTGCAGATATTGAAGCAGCCCATAACCCAGCTCCAGACACTCTGGCCGTGATCTAGAAGGAATCATCCTCACCTAGGGACCTGGGTGGAGACTTCATCCATCAGTGTCCACTGAGGGAGGCCTGCAGAACTTGGTCATGGATATGGACCCTAAGGCAGCTCTGTGACATGGCTATAGCCTCTCTCAGCTGCGTTGTGGGGCCATTAATGCATGTTTAGCGAGAGAGCCATACATTTCCACCTGGAAAAATAGCCCTGCCATATGTGAACCCTGAAGAGATCCCTTGTCTTAGTGTCAGCCGTACTGGCCAAGGTCTTGAAGTGATGTCCTTTCCTGGCCAGGGACCAGACAGGGTCGATTCACCTGGTAACAGGATTGTGTACCACAGACTCCAGTACAGACCCAACAGCAGCCATGTGACCTGGTCTCAAACCCACTTGACTATGATTCTACAGGCAAAACCATCCGTCCGGGGACCTAGCACAAGACAGTTTTATCTATGAAAGCAGTCTATATGCTCTGAACTATACAGTTGCCTGCAGGCAAGACCAGCAGACCATTAAATAGCCTAAGCTGAGCTGACAGGTGAAGGACTATCTGTCCTGATGTGACCCTGTAAAGACCGGAAGAGTGATTACTCAAATGTGCAGATAAAATGCAAAAAGGCAATGATGACCGGAATTAGGTAATACCACCACAGGAAGTACCCCAAGCTGAGCATCATAACAGTAAATGCAGCAAATTTTACCAACCTTTATATATTTGCCACTAAATATTAACACATTTATAATAGAACTGCATCAAAACACATACATACTGTCAAAACTATATTGTATATGCCAGTCAAAACAGTATATTAGCATAAGCAAATATATTATTAGCACAGAAGTATCTAGAGCCTAAAATAGGAATTTCTTGTTTAATAAAGTTGGTATTTCAAATTCAAAAAATTTGAATTTGAAGCAGGTCAAGAACAGTTTATAAGTGGTACTGTATCATTTGTCCATTGTTTCTGGGGGAGAAGTGACTGGATCCAGTCCCACACCCCACATGTTAAACTATATTCCTAAAGAGTTAGGACTAAAAAGTTCAATGTTTTTCGGGCACCTGGGTGACTTAGTTAAGCATCTCTTGATTTCATCTCAGATCATGATCTCACAGTTCATGCAACAGACCCCCACACAGGGCTCAGCACCGACAACACAGAGCCTGCTTGATTCTCTCCCCCTCTTTCTGCCGCTGCCCCACTTGCACTCTCTCAAATAAATTTTTTAAAAAGAGTTCAATGGTTTTAAACAATACATTTAAGATGAAAATCATAAAATCTGTATATAACCAAGTTTGAATAGACTTTTAAAGGCAAGATAGTAAAGCCAGATATTCTCAAAAACGCTCTTTGCCCACATAAAAATTCAATGTTTTGTGCCGTTAAATGTGAATCTTTAACATAACAAAATAGATAATTCAGTTGATTCAGTTATGTTTAAAAATGGACATGTATGGGGCACCTGGGTGGCGCAGTCGGTTAAGCGTCCGACTTCAGCCAGGTCACGACCTCATGGTCCGTGAGTTTGAGCCCCACATCAGGCTCTGGGCTGATGGCTCAGAGCCTGGAGCCTGTTTCCGATTCTGTGTCTCCCTCTCTCTCTGCCCCTCCCCCGTTCATGCTCTGTCTCTCTCTGTCCCAAAAATAAATAAACGTTGAAAAAAAAAAATGGACATGTGTAACTAAATCAGTGTTTTAGAAGATTTTTATTAACTCTACAAAGACAATCTACTCAAAATCAATGCAAACATGATTAATGGAGTAACTTTAGAACCATTCCTGAATAAGGGAAGAATGCCCAGTGTCAGTACTTTTTCACAAAACAAGTACAAAAATAGGTATGTGAACAAAAATATGAAAGATTTATAAAATGTCATTACATTGAAAGCACAAGGAATCCATGATTCGAGTTGACCATTGTGTCCAATGTTAAATAAAACGAAAGAAGGGGAAATAAAGGCCTAAATACAAGGTTGATGGAATAGGGGCAATACACTGGTTTTATTTTTATTTATTTATTTTTTTACGTTTATTTTTGAGACAGAGACAGAGCATGAACGGGGGAGGGTCAGAGAGAGGGAGACACAGAATCTCAAACAGGCTCCAGGCTCCGAGCTGTCAGCACAGAGACACGGGGCTCGAACTCACAGACCGCGAGATCATGACCTGAGCCGAAGTTGGACGCCTAACCGACCGAGCCACCCAGGCGCCCCATCTGGTTTTAAAATTAGGGGGAGATAAATACTGAAAAAAATGAGATGCTAGACCTAAGTCCTTTATTTACTAGTAACTACATGATATTATGGACTAATGTTCCAAATGAAAGAAGGATTTAAAGTGTGATTTAAAACAGAACTCTACATATAGTATGCATAAAAGGAGACTAATACAAGGCTAGAGGAAGATTAACAAGTTGAGGAGAAGCAAGCTGATGTAAATGCACTATAGCACTTAAGTAACTTCCGTGAATAGGTAGGAGCGAATGGCTCCAAGTCCCTCTTCTCACCCATATCATGAGGAAACCTCTCGAGGCAGAAATTTCATGACTGCATTGCAGACACTCATGTCTTCACGCACAGCCTGGCCACCATTGTTCTCCCTCCCTGAAAAGCCATGACTATATTAACATGTCATTCCCATTGCCAAAATTCTTGAATGTGTGATATGATTATTCCTTTCTTCCAAGGCCTTAAGTTAGCCTGTCACTATCTCATTGATGTTGGCAGAGAAGCTGAGACATTGACGTCAGAGACAAAGGCCGTAACTCAATCATGGTCTAGACAGCAGCACAAGCATCAGCATGTCTGAATTGGCTCCCTTTGTCCCCACGTCTGTCTAGGGTTACAGAGGGCCTACATGGATGTTTCCGTACACCCTGGTTGCTAAAGGAAAGGAATACTGAGCTTGTAGAATCTAGCTTATTTGAAGCAGTAAGCAAGCCTGCTCTTTGTCTCAATGGGAGAGATGATCTCATCGTTCAAGTTTCTTCACTGCAAAGGTACATTTAACAAATTGCCTAGGGAGAGTGTTGAGGGACTTGCCTTCTTCCCAGGTATAAAAGTGATGGAGGGCAAGAGAGAAAGGTACACAGGTAATTCCCATTCAGGATTGACTGAAGCTTGATTTGGATGATCATTACAATGGTCTGATTAAGCCTCAAGAAAAGTGTCACCAAGCAGCTGCAGCCCTGATGGCCACCCATGATGTAACCCAGTGTTGCTGGGGATCAGAGTTGTATGAATTTGTATCACTAAGGCTGAAACGAATTTGTGTCTGTCCCTTTCCACACCCAACGTTCACACTTAGGAACTGTCAGGGATGGCATCAAGCACAGGAGATTGTCAAGACCAGCTATATTCACACCATTTTTCTGTTTTCACAGCACACGGATAGAATGACAAGCACAGAGTCAGACCCCCGCTGCGACACCTGTTGCTTGAGCTACATAGATGATATGGTTGCTGTGCCAGATTGTGGTACTGGATAAAGGGGCGGAAGAGCACATTCATTATTCTCACCCTCCTGCTGCACAGCTTGAATAGAAGAGTGTATGGGCCTCCCCAGTTGGTAGGGCGGTGTTCCCAGGGCATGTGTTCATGGTGTCTCACATCACTAGGTGTAATCTCACCTTTTCGCCACTCGTCCTATGCTTCATCCTGAGATTTCATGGGATAGGATCAGGTGAGAGAGGGACACAAGGTCATCCAAAACTGACAGACACGGTTTACATCCCCTACCCTGGCCAGTGTGAACAGTATAGATGGACTCCATGAGCACTTTCAATGGTGATGTAGTCCCTGTGTTAGCAATGTCCGATCATGCCAGTCAAGTAAGAGCATTCAGGTGGTAGAAGACAAAGTGTGAATTGTGTAGGCCTGCTTTGGGGCAGGATGCAACCTGGAAGGCGCAGCAACTAGACTGGTCTAGCCATCAGGGCAAGGATACATCATGCCCACCAAGAAAAGGTCAGGATACAATGATAAATCTTAAAACAGACCTATACAGCCACCCACAGGAGATCAAAGGTCTGGATCAGGCTGAGCCTGATGTGGCTTGAACCCTTGAGACCATGACCTGAGCTGAAGTCGGTCATACTTAACCAAATGGGCCACCCAGGTGCCCATTACTGTTTTTAAATCCGTAAGCAGTTGAAGACTAACATTATGTTTGCTAGACCTGACAGTTATTTAGTACATAAGATTTAAAGTTGCCTTTCTTGGGAAGGGAGGGATTGCTCGTAGCCACATAAAACCCCTGCCTAGTTTTTTTTTTCCTTTTGGACTCTTTATTTTTCCCCATTTTTTTTTTATTTTTAATGTTTATTTATTTTTGAGAGACAGAGTGTGAGTGGGGGAGGGACACCCAGAATCTGAAGCAGGCTCCAGGCTCTGAGCTGTCAGCACAGAGCCTGATGTGGGACTTGAACTCGTTAACCGCAAGATCATGACCTGAGCTGAGTCGGCGCTTAACCGACTAAGCCACCCAGGTGCCCCTCCTTTTTTTTTTCTTTAGGTATTTACCTATAAACTCTCGATGGTCCTGAGTGGCCCTTTGCTATGAGCGGTGGTCTCCTTTTCTAGATGGTCCCTTTCAACCTCAGAGGGACTGGAGTCTATCTCCAAGACAGCAACACAGGGAATTTCCAATTTTATAACAGTTTGACTTTCAAGAAGATGCTCTTACATATTGATAGGCAGTGGCACTCAAGGGAGCCCACGCACACTGACCAGGAGATTTACAAACCGGTTTGAGTTGAGAAACCTCCCGAGGTTTCTTAGGAAACCTCATGGATAAAATCAGTAAGATCCCTCATAGTCCACCAGGTAGGCAGGGGAACACATCATGACAGAAGCGAAGCAAGAACAGAGACATATGTGAGGGCCACTGCTGTCTTTGGCAGAGAAGGCTGCTGAGGACCTCCTGATCTCTTTGTCCCCCACGGGGGATGCAGTGGATGAGGAGACTCCCCCACCCCCCACCTTGGGGTTGCAAGGAACACCACCACATAGTATGGAGGAGAGGTAAGTTGTTTCTGGTTGTCCTTACGAGTTGGTAGGGAGAAAATGTTACCGACTAGGTCTACAGTTTGCATTTATACCAGCGAATCATAACATTTATTATTAGGGAAGACAGATGGGCCCTATAGAAGAACAAAAGGGCAATTTACCAGAAATATAGGATGACAACATTTGTATGCATCTAGTTATAGTGCCTCAAAATAAAAGAGACAGAGTTAAAAAAAAAAAACAACCTTACTATCCACAGTGATAGTGACGCATTTTAACATACCTCTCTCAATAAAGGACAAAGGTTTGTAATGACACAAATTTTAAAAACACAGTAAGATTCATCCAACAGATGCACTGACAGTCAATTATACCAAATAATTACAGAAGAGGTGGTGTTTCCAACCACACTTAAAGGATTCATAAAACTTGACTACACATGAAATGTATTAGTTAGGGGCACCTGGGTGGCTCAGTTGGTTAAGTGTCTGACTTTGGCTCAGGTCATGATCTCGTAGTTCATGATCTCGTGGGTTCAAGCCCCACATTGGGCTCTGTGCTGACAGCTCATAGCCTGGAACCTGCTTCAGATGATGTGTCTCCCTCTCTCTCTCTTCCCCTCCCTGCTCGCACTCTGTCTCTGTCTCTCTCAAAATGAAATACACCTTAAGAAAAATTGAAATTTATTAGTTAACTGAAATCCGTTTTAACAGAATCTTCCCTCCAGAGTGGTTTAAACCAGTTAGGAATTTATTCTTTCTTGTGTTACAGGAAGTCCAGAAATAGGCAATCCAGGGTTAGTACAGACAAATAATACTGTATATATCCCTGACATATTATCAGTAGCCTCTGACTGTCATCCTCTTGGTCTATCTTCTAGGAAAGAAGAAGAGATAGAATAGAGGGCAAATGGTAGAGAGAAAATTCCAGATGAGACATTCCCATTTCCATGAGCTATTCTAGAACCCACAAGCAGTGACCTCTATTTCTCACAGGCCAGAACTATGGGCTTATGGGCAAAGTGGCAAAGAAGTTGGGAGATGAGTCCTTAAAAAACTGTCCACACTGCCAACTTGAATACAATTATATAGTTTGTTACTTTAGGAAAAGAAGAGTGGGATAGATCTGGGGATAGCAACTCATTGTATCTGACACATTAGCCCACACAGAAAGTCTCCAACAATTTTCTGTTTGAATCTATGTCATACAGAATCTGTATCATGAAGACCATGCATTTTGTGTATAATGCAATTAAGTTAGAAATCAAAAATAACATATGCATGGAGTCTTCACATTAAAAAATACATTTCTAAATAAACTATAGGTCCAAGACATCTTGATGAGGGCTGGAAAACATTTAGTAGTAAATTACGGTGAAAACATTATTTATCAACACTTCTGTGACGTAGATTAAGGGGACTATAGAGCACCCTATAACCTTTAATACTTAACAGTTAACATGGTGTTGCTCTTTCAGGATGAAACACTCGCTGATAAAGACAATCACAGACCCATAACATTTGTAAGATTGGTCCCAGGAAGTCAGGAATTGTGCCTGGAGGCTTTCTACATTGGTCACAACAAGGCTGCTCTCCAGTGTGACTTCTACAATGAGGAATGAAGCGTCAAGGATCAGTAAAGGCTTTCCTGTAGTTATTTCATTCATACTTTCGGCCCAGTGTGTATTCGCTTGTGCATTATAAGGTTAGTGCTGGTGCTGAATGCTTTTCCACACTGAGTACATTTATAGGGCTTCTCTCCTGTGTGAGTTCTCACATGCACCCTCAGGCAAGAGGAATTCCTAAAGGCCTTCCCACATTCTTTACACTCATAGGTTTTCTCTCCAGTGTGAGTTCTCTTGTGCACAATGAGGTAAGAGCCCGTGCTGAAGGATTTTCCACACTGACTACACTCGTAAGGTTTCTCTCCAGTGTGAGATCGTGTATGTTTCTTAAGGGATGACTGATCAATGAAGGCCTTCCCACAGTCACTGCATTCGTAGGGTTTCTCTCCGGTGTGGGTTCTCATGTGCTTCTGAAGGGATGAAGGAACAGTGAAAGCCTTGCCACATTCCTTACAGTCATAGGGTTTCTCTCCAGTGTGAGTCCTTCTGTGCACGTTAAGATGGGAGCTCTGGCTGAAGGACTTTCCGCAGTGATTACACTCATAAGGTTTCTCTCCAGTGTGAGATCTCACATGTTTTTTAAGGGAAGACTGAAAAATGAAGGCTTTCCCACAGTCATTGCATTCATAAGGCTTCTCTCCAGTGTGAGGTCTCACACATTTCTGAAGGGACAAGGGGCCAGCGAACACTTTCCCACGCTCATTACGTTCTGAGCTTTCCTCCACAGTACATAGTTTTTGGTGGGTGCTAAGCAAAGCTCTTTCTCTATAATTACTGCATTCACAGAGCTTCTCTCCAGTAGGTATCTGGTCATACACTGGAAAGGAAGAGTGTATGCTGAGAGACAAAAGACACTGGTTACACTCATGAGGTTTCTCTCCTGTGACAGTCCTTAAGTGTTTCCTAAGGGAGGACTCTTGAATGAAAGCTTTGCCACAATCCTTAAACTCAAAGGTCTTCTCTCCACTGTGAGTACTTACATGACTCCTAGGAACTGAGGGGTGGCCAAGGTCTTTCCCATTATCCTTATATTTGTGGCATTTCTCTCCCTTGCAATGTCTTGTACACATCAAGTGACAGTTTTTTCTGAAGAATTTTCCACAACGATCAAATTCCAAGGGCTTCTTGCTGGGTTGAGTTGGTACCTGCTGAACAAGGAGTAAGTAAGTAAAGATTTCCTCACTTTCTTTACATTCATGGGAATTCTCTTCCACGTGGATTTGGCCATACACAGGAAACACACGATTACAACTGACATTTTTACTATTTTTCAGTGCATGTATGTGAATTTTTTTTGCTCTATTCTTTCAAGTTGTATCAGCTCCAACCCAGGACTCCATCATCCCTAATAAAGGACATCCTAAATACGGAGTTTTGCCAATAATGAGTAAAGACTGAATTAATTATGTATTAAATACTTCACAATGGAATCATATTTAAATAAATGTTTACTTTTTGGCATTCTCTGTGAAACAGCAAATGTTGAGCCAAGTTTAGAGATTCCTCTAATTTTATGAGATTCAGGAATACTTTCCCAAGACAGCTTTATGGTGAGTGAATGCCACCTGCCTCACTGTCTCTCCTCATTTGGAAGCTAGTGCTTTAACTCCATGACATTCACAGACTTCTCCTCCCGTAAAAGACCAGGAATCATTCCTAGTGAATCTTACCGTCTTTATGTCATTGCAAGTTTTTTCTCTAGGAACATTCTGTACAGGAAATGCATCTTTTGATTTCAGCTGAATATCCAAGCCTGAAATTGAAAATTTGTATAACTATTGGGATAAAAAAATAGGGATAACAGAAGAAAGGACACAGGCGCCCCATGGATGTGTTTTCAATAACACTAAATATAGAGAGGAAATGTGAAACAGAAGATGTAACCCATGACCAGAGAAATTATTCTAGGAACGTGGCTCTTTGAGAAGATGCCATTGATAGGAATGAGCAATGGAATGGGAAGTGTTTTACTTAGAAAGGATTCTGGAGGTTTGAGACAATAGGAGAGTGTATTATCTGGAAAGCAAAGTAGGGAGAATGGCACAAAAAGTATGCAAAGAAAAGTAAGATTTACAGAGGAATTAAAACAGTATTTTTCTCAGGGCGCCTGGGTGGCTTAGTTGGTTGACTGTCTGACTCTGGTACAGGTCATGATCTCACGGTTCATGAGTTTGAGCCCCGAAGCCCCGCTTTGGATCCTCTCTCTCCTTCTCTCTCTGGCCCTCCCCTGCTTATGCTCTCTCAAAAAGAAATATTAAAAAAAAGAAGAAAAAAAAACCCAGTTTTTTTTCCTCTGAGACCACACGAAGATATGAATGAGGGGAGAGATGGTCAAGGAGGGAAAGTTCAAATAATGGCCTCAGTGTTGTCAACACAAATCGACATTCCTAAAAGGACCATCCCACATCAGCTATGGCTGCTCCACACAATGACTCCCTTCTGCCTGGGACTCACCTACACAGGCACCTTGGAGCATTCCTCTCTTCTCTGTGCTCAGTGCTTCCTGCCCCACCTCAGTGATCAGACTGTGCTTGCAGAGAGGGTACCCTGCTCGTAGAGAAAGACACGTGAGGTGGGAGGACTGTGAAGGAGACAAGAAGTCTGTCCACAAAAGTGGTTCCAATACTTTGATACTAAAGGATTCTGAAGCCAGGCAAGTACCACTTCAGGAGTGACAAAGGAATCAGATCCAAACTTTTCCACAAGGTCCCCCAAACAAACACCTACATAACGCCCTGTCCACATGGAACAGACCCTTGACACCCAAACCCAAGAACAAATACACACTGCAATTACCTAAATGTTGTAATAATACTGAAAATGAAATCAATGCATTTTTACTGGAAGCCACGAGATTCCCACAAGAGCAGGGGCCACTCATTTCGTGTTGACTGTGTATTGCCGTTCTTTTCACAAAACCCAGAACACGGTGTGTGATGAAGGACTACCTGCTGCATGGAGAAATGGAAAAATGAAGGAAGGAGGCCAGTCTCACCTACAGAGGCCAGGTTCCTGTAGTTCTCCAGCATCACGTCTCTGTATAGGATTTTCTGAGTAGGGTCCAGAAGTGCCCACTCCTCCTGGGAGAAATCCACCGCCACTTCCTCAAAGGTCACTGAATCCTGAAACATTGCACACATTCAGGCTCAGCCAAGGCCCATTTCTAACTATGTAGCAAAAGAATGGTGAGGGAGGCTGCCAGGACCGGGGAGGGAGACCAGCGCACTGCTTGAGAAGTGCAGTTGTGCTCTGAAGGCCTCCTGTTATCCACCCCAAGGCTCAGTTCTTGGAACTCTCCTCTTTTGCTCTCCTTGCCTGGACCACCTCATCCAGACTCAAGCTTTTAGCAGCTTTTCTAACACATAGTTGACCTGATATTTCCACCCAGTAGGTTGTGAGGACCCTTCCAGTCTTAGTCAAGATCCAGTACAGACTGACCATACTGCAGGACGAGAAAAATACTTGGAAAATGAATGAATGATTTTCCTAGTGAAAAATCTCTTTTCCTTCATAAGCACCCTGCAGAATATGGAACGAATACTCAACCTGGAGGAATATCTGGAAAAAAACAAAAAATTTACAAATGTTGTAGTAATAGAAGCCTTTCCAAAGGCATTCTTTCTCTCGTTCTGAGACGCCCAAAGAACTGGGAAAGCCTGAGGCCAGCCCGCTGGAAGCTGTGGGTTGTGGGCAAGACACGTATCCTTTGGAAACAGCATAAAATTCTTTGAAACAGAATAATTTCCTATATACCTGTGACCAGGTGGTCAGCAATCCTGCAGCCATTCTTCCTCTTGTGTGTCTCCCTCGTCACCAGACAGGGTTCTGAGCAAGCCGACCTAGAGAAGACAGAAGCCATGGAAGTCTAGGCTTGACAGATATTCAACGCTTACAACCTAGAAGCTTCCTCATACTAGCTTCAGAGGGACCACACACCCACACACACAGTACAGTTCACCTTAAGATTTTATCTCCCTATCCAAGAACAACTAGGAATTAGAAATCTAATATGTTCTTTTTCTTTTTAAACTTTTTTCTGGGCCAAACTCCTAAAAATGTCTAGGGCCAATAGGCATTGCAAGGAGCAATGAGCCCCCACTAGTTCCAGAATGCCTCTAAATGTCACTTGCCCATGAAAGAAACCAAGGCTCATTTGAGAAATAGCTGAGTCAAGTGCAGAACGTGAAGTGTTCAAGGTGAGTCTGGAACATCTTTTTTAAGTTATTTTTTTAATGTTTATTTATTTATTTATTTGAGAGAGAGAGGGAGAGACAGAGTGTGAATGGGCAGAGACAGAGAGAGAGAGAGACAAAGAATCTGAAGCAGGCTCCAGGCTCTGAGCTGTCAGCATGGAGCCTGATGCAGGGCTCGAACTCACAAACTGTGAGATCATGACCTGAGCTGAAGTCGGACGCTTAACCGACTGAGCCACCCAGGTGCCCCAAGTCTGGAACATCTTATAGCAGAAAGTAAGAATCCCAGCAAAGGCTAATGGAGTTGTGTCAAAAATACACAGGAGAAAACTTAAAGGAGCTCTCCTTGGCTTAAGATGGAATAATTTAGGGGCCCCTGGCTGGCTCAGTCAGAAGAGCGTGTGACTCTTGATCTCAGGGTTGTGAGTTTGAGCCCCATGCTGGGTGTACAGATTACTCAAAAAAATAAAATCTTAAAAAAGAAAAGAACAATTTAATAAATAATGACTGCAGTCAATTGAAATCATCAAATGTAAAACAAAATCATGAGTTCATAATGATATTTAAAAAAAACCCTTAATGGTCAGTATTGGAGAAGGCCAGGATATCAAGTCATAATTCTGAAAATTCATGAGAGGCAAGAATCAAGCATGTGTCTCTCTCTCCTTTATGAACAATAGTTTACGACTGCTAAGTTGTTGTGATGGGGAAGAGTTCTTCTTTATACAAGAATTGTACATGCTTTATAAGCTTTGTTTATTATAAAGAAAATGCTAGAGTCAGAAAGTCACCTTTTGCAACCAATAGTAAATTAATGAATCTAAGCAATAACAATCAGTGGTTACTCAATTATTAGGGGAAAAGAGAATGGGGATGTTTACTTATAGTTTTCAATTTTGAAAATATGTTAAAACTAAAAGGAAGAAAGATCTGTGTGAATATGATAGACTTCCACAGATTCTTTGCCATTAAAATTTGTCTTCTCTTCCCCCCCACCCCCCGATTTCCTCTGTGCTTCAGCAAGAATGTTATTGAGAAGAATCTATTCCAGAAGAAATATCAGATTCCATGACCCTTTTCTCCTACATACTTCAGAGTGGCCCAGGAACTTGGACATTCTCTAACATAACCGCAGTGATCAAAATCAGGAACATTTAAACATGGATTTAATATTATACACTCTCTATGCAGAATATCACTAACTGGTCCAGTAATATCCTTTATAGCAATCATTTTTTTTGTTGTTCAGTTTTTTTAACGTTTATTCATTTTTGAGAGACAAAGAGAGACAGAGTGCAAGCAGGGGTAGGGCAGAGACAGAGAAGGAGACACAGAATCCAAAGCCGGCTTCAGGCTCTGAGCTGTCAGCACAAAGCCCAACGTGGGGCTTGAACTCACGAACCGTGAGCTCATGACCGGAGCCTAGGCCAGACACTTAACTGATAGCCACCCAGGTGCTCCAGCAATCACCTTTTTTAAAGTGTATTTATTTACTGGGGGGAGGGGCAGAGAGAGAGGGCGACAGAGAATCCAAAGCAGGCACAGCGCAGTGGGGCTCGATCTCATGAACTGTGAGATCATGAGCTGGGCTGAAATCAAGAGTTGGCCGCTCAACTGACTGAGCCAGCTGGGTGCCCCTCCACCAATCACTTTTTAAATTTCCCATACGGCATCATGCCCTCAAACCATGGTTCTTTATGCTTCTTTAATCGGGACCCATCCCTCAGCCTTTCTTCATCTTTCAAGATACAAAGAGTCCAGGTCCGATGTTTGACGGACTCCACCTCAGTTTTGGCTTTTCTGATGTTTTCTCATGATTAGATTCAGGAAGTTCAGTTTGTTTTTTTTTTTTTTTTTTTTTTTTTTAATTTTTGATGTTTATTTATTTTTGAGAGAGACAGAAACAGAATGCGAGTGGGTTGGGGCAGAGAGAGAGGGAGACACAGAATCTGAAACAGGCTCCAGGCTCTGAGCTGTCAGCACAGAGCCTGACGCGGGTCTCGAACTCATGAGCTGTGAGATCATGACCTGAGCTGAAGTTGGACGCTCAACTGACTGAGCCACCCAGGCGCCCCAGGAAGTTCAGTTTTGGATGAAGGACTACCTGACTGATGAGTGTCCTCCTCAGCGTGCCACCTTAGGAGGCCTTAGGTGCCAGTCTGTCTCATTATAGGTGAGAACTATGGTCAGTTGGTTAAGGTGGCATGCCACAGGTTTTTCTATGAAGTTACCATTTTCTCCTTTTGTAATTAATGAGGAGTCTTATTAACTAGGGGGATAATTGGAGACTGTATAGATAAGCTGGGAACCTTTATCAAGGAAGGATCAAGCTGACACTGGAACCAAGTGATAAATCTTAACATCACAAAGACGGTGTCTGGATAGCAGGTAAGTTCTGATATGATGTAAAAAGAAACAGCACCATCTATAAAGTACTTTTGCCAAAAAAAAAAAACAAAAAAAAACAAAAAAAAACACCACACACAAAAAAAACCCTGACAAATCCTTTCATCTAATTAGCAGTTTACAGAAGAAAGAGTCTGAGGGGACATGTTAACATCATGAAGATATAAGATGATATCACGAAGATACAAGCAGCCAAACTCAGTCTGGGGGACAGACAGGAAGGACTTGTAACAGCTCACAGAAGCATGTGGACCTTCCATCTCGATTCCAATAACACCAACTGCAGAAACACACTTTGAGACATTCCGAGGGAACTGAACACAGACTGGGTATTAGATGATACTGGCAAAGAGGAAAGCAGCCCCTGACATCCAGGAGCAGCCCTGGGACCATCAGCGAGGCCTGTGTGTTCTCCTATTGAACATGAATGACGTCACAGAACAGCAACAGCAGACACGGCCACTCTGACCATGGCATACGAAGACACAACAGGGCTGTTCTGTAGTCATGTCTGAACACAGAACATTATCTAAGCCTCAGAAATGACTCAGCGTCCTCCCTTTCTGGCCAAAATGAACAACGCTGCTTCCTTATCAATTACAGCTTCACCCCTGTTTTATTTTCCCTCCTTCTTGGTAAGCTTTACTAATACATTTTATTTATTTATTTTTTCAACGTTTATTTATTTTTGGGACAGAGAGAGACAGAGCATGAACGGGGGAGGGGCAGAGAGAGAGGGAGACACAGAATCGGAAACAGGCTCCAGGCTCTGAGCCATCAGCCCAGAGCCTGACGCGGGGCTCGAACTCACGGACCGCGAGATCGTGACCTAGCTGAATTCGGACGCTTAACCGACTGCGCCACCCAGGCGCCCCAAGCTTTACTAATAAATTTGATGGTAGAATTGCCCTCACTTCCTGACAACATCTAATCCGGAACCCTCCACCAAGAGCACCTGCCACGAGCTCACATCCTGGAGGTCTAACACCCTTGGACTGAGAGGTCCCCCGGTGCACAATGCTGTGCATTCTGCCTTGCTGCAAGGAGTGATAGACCCAACCTGTGCAACTACTTGTAGCCAAAGACCACTGAAAATATCAAGAAATGTTCATTTAGGGAGTGTGATAACGGTATTGTGACAATGCTAAAAACTTCTGTTAAACATTTATTTTTATTAATGGATTGCCTCCTTAGTCTCTTGATCTGTAACAGCTCTCTCTTCCTCGTTTAGCCCCAAACCGGGTTAGGTAGTTATATCCTCATGCTGTCCTTTCCTTTTACTTTATTATTATTATTTAAAAATTTTAAAGTTCATTTATTTATTTGGAGAGAGAGAGCGGCAGAAAGAAGCAGAGAGAGAGGGAGTCAGCACTCCCTGCACTGTCAGCACAGAGCCTGACGCAGGGCTTGAAGTCATCAACTGTGAGGTCATGACCTAAACTGAAACCAAGAATTGGATGCTTAACCAACTACGCCACCCAGGTGCCCCATTATTATTATTATTTCTTTAATGTTTATTTATTTTGAGAGACAGAGCGAGCAAGCGAACATGAGCAGGGGAGGGCTGTCAGAGAGAGGGAGAGAGAAAATCCCAAGCAGGCTCAGTGCTGTCGGGACAGGGCCCGATGCAGGGATTGATCCCACCAACCGTGAGATCATGACCTGAGCTGAAAAGAAGAGCTGGATGCTTAACCAACTAAGCCACCCAGGCACCCTACACGTCCTTTTCTCTTATTAGAGAGACAACTCAAATTATGGGTAAAATGATATGATGTCTGATATTTGTTCTAACAGGAAAATAAAACTCAGTAATAATATACAAAGGCAGGAACAGACATTATAAGAATGGCAAGCAGTGGTAATCACTGAAGCTGGGTGATGAGTACAGGGAGATTTTATCATAGCACTCTTGACTCCTGAGTATGTTTGAAAGTCCATAATTAAAACTTTTAAGGAAAAGAAAAAAAAAACTTCCATGCAGAAAGGGACATTAAAGATGTGCACCTGTCTAGACCCTGGCATCAGATTCAGTAGCAAAAGCAAATCTTAGGTTTTAGTCCAAATTCACATTCTTCGTGTAGTCCAGAAAACACCAAGAATAATTTCATTTCGAGGGCGCCTGGGTGGCTCAGTCAGTTAAGCATCCGACTTCAGCTCAGGTCATGATCTCACAGTTTGTGAGTTTGAGCCCTGTGTCGGGCTTTGTGCTGACAGGGTGGAGCCTGGAGCCCAGAGCTTGC